ATTAATGCAGTTTGACACCAATTTAACCACTTTGGTTCAATGCTATGGAATCATGGGAGTTGTAGCCTTACAAGGTCTTTAGCTTTGTCTGCCAAAATTGGTGCCTCACCAAACTACAATTCCCATTATTTCATAGTATTGAGCCATAGCAGTTTAAGTGGTTTCAAACTGCATTATACAGTGTAATTGAAACCCACGGTTTCAAATCTAGTGCAGAATAGATGATCTGAATTTCAGAGGGAAAAATAATCCATTGCTCTCTTTGTAACAAAAATGACTCGGAATGAGCTATCTTCTGTTTCTTCTGGGAAGGATCCCATCGGTGATGAACATCAAGAGCACAATTAAAAGTATTAAAAACTCTTGACCTCAAAATGCCTCTAGTGTTTATTTTCCACATTCAATTGGGAAGTAGTCAAATTTAATTCAGTTTTATATCCGTAACCTTAGCATGTTTGTGCCATCTGCTTTTTTCTTCAGTAAAAAGAAGTGTGCATTATGTGTCAGAGAGAGCTGTGGAGATAAGTAACAACTTTTCCAAAAATGACTTTAAAATATAGGTGTGAATTATCACATTTTGGAATATGTAGGAAGTAAATATACAAATTCTTATTTTTCAAAGTTAGGTACAAGAGGAGCTGTTCAGAAATACTTTTCACACACACAAACACATTTGCTTATCAGTTTTTCTGACAATAAGATAATTCATTCTCCCAGGTTCCACAACTAAACTTCTTTTTCTTGCAGAGACTCTTGTTTGTTAAAAACCATCCTAAATAAAGATAAAGTTTATTCCCAAATGCCATCTTATGTAAATATAATGAGACTGGTGTCATTAGATTCAGGAATTTGAAGTCAAGAGGGGAAATGGAATTTGATAATTCAGGGTGTGGACAGGACTAAGAATGTGCACAGATAGGATAACAGTATTCTATAAGCATCTACCCATCAAAAAAGTCAGAGGAACACTAAAGTGCCACTGATATAGCCTCTTGAACCACGGTATTACAAGGATGAGGGAGACAGTGCTTTGGGTAGTGTCCTGTTACATAGCACTTAAAAAAACCTTGATTTTTTAGTTGGAATATAGTCTCAATTTAGAAGTAACCAAGGTAGGAATTTGGGGAATGATAGGCATGAAACGGGCAATAGAAACAACCATCATAAGCAATCTTTTATTAATATATACATTGAATACAATGCTGTACAAGTCTATGCAACAGCAAGTCCTTTGGGTTCATGTAAGTATCTTGGATTGCACCCTAACTTAAAATCAATGGAAGTTCCAAGTACAATAAATTAGCTTTAGATAGAGTTTGGAAAAGTTCCCTTTTTTGGTACTAGGCATTCCAGAATTGCCTGGCCAGTAGATAGTTCTGCAAGATAGATCCATCTGATAAGCAAAAAGTCTACAGCAACCCTACACTGTATTTCGTTTTTAAAGAGGGAGGTGTGAATGGTATAACACAAGGAATTTTCCTAAGCCTTAGGTTAAGATCACATTGAGAGATAGAACAGGATCATACCATACACTCAGATTTCCAGACTATAAACCTGAGACCTTGGGGCTGCCCTTGGAGATGTCAGGAAGCATTATGCATTAAGTACCAACCACAGTTGCTCACAGCTATTTTCCCATTTAGAAATTAAGACAGAAATTTTAGCTGAATGAGTTGTTCCAGGTCAAGGTGAATTGAAAGGATTTTATTATTCATTCTCCCTGACTTAGGGAAAACGAAGATTTAGTCTGCCTGCTTATAGACAAAATACCAATGCAAAATGGAGGGCAAGCCCTGGTGCCACAATGACTGGGAAGCAAGAAGATGCTTAATAATACAGTGGGCCCACCGTATCTGACTCTCAATCTATGGATTCAAGACTCTGCAGCAACATGGTGGTGGTGCTCTGGTTTTGTAATTTGCAAATGCCAAGCAGGAATGTCTCTTCTAATTACCATGTCCATAAGGAACCTGCCTGAAGATGGAATGGGTGGCTGGTGGGCTCCTTGGCTGCAAGAAACCCCTAAGAATAAGGCTTGCTGCCACCAAGACCAATTTTAATAGGGACTTGGGTATTAGTGGTGGTGGTGGGGGGGGGGGTATGTACAGGGCTCCTGGAAGCAGCCACTTTGAGTCTCTTTTGAAGAGAGAGAAAGCAGGGTATAAATAAACATCATCATCATCCTGAGCAGATATATTGAGGATCCACTACATCAGTGGTTCTTAACCTGTGGGTCCCCAGGTGTTTTGGCCTACAGCTCCCAGAAATCGCAGCGAGTTTACCAGCTCTTAGGATTTCTGGGAGTTGAAGGCCAAAATATCTGGAAACCCACAGGCTGAGAACCTCTGTACTACATATAAACATCCTGGAAATTCTTGAAAATTGCAGTAACAAATCAGATTCTTGGCTCAGATGAAAAAAAAATCTGAGAGATGGAGTATGGTTGCTCTAAAGGCATCAAGTTGAATCAGATCTTGGAAGCTAAGCAGGGCGAGTCCAGTTCAGTACTTGGATGGGAGACCTCCAACCAATACTGGTGCTGTCGGCTATATTTCAGAGGAAGGAATAAAAAGTCCTATGAAATCAATTGGAGATCACCATAAGTCAACAGGCAACTTGAAGTCATACACATACACAAGGAGAGTGGATGCTTGTGAGATAAGAATCTGTAGGATTTGTCTCAGCAAACAAAAACCTAAATTTAGGGGCAAAAGCTTCTGTCATGTTATTCGCTCAAAAGCTGAAACAAATTCTAAAACCTGTTCATCTTCAATTGTAAAGCTGGCAACACGACTGTATTAACATTCTTTCTATGGGTTGTTGTAGGTTTTCTGAGGATGCTTGCCACAGATGCAGGCGAAACGTCAGGAGAAAATGTCTCTAGAACATGGCCATATAGCCCGGAAAAACCTACAACAACCCAGTGATTCCGGCCATGAAAGCCTTCAACAATACATTCTTTCTATGTTCATTCACTCAATTGTGTCCACGAATCATACATGCTAATTTATTGTTTTCTGTAACAAGATAAATCAGGCCTGAAAATATGCCAAAAAACTCTCTACAAATGCAGTACACAAAGTATAATATTCCAAAGATTCTAGTAGAATACAGGGGTGGGAAACTGTTGTTATAGCTCCAGACTGCACTGCTATTATCATGGGCCTTCAAAACTAGAATTCATTGTATTTGCACCTTCTGCTTGACTTACTGAAGGTTATGATCAGTGTATTTTGGATTTTGATACATTTCTGGTTCAAATAGATCCACTTAGATTTCTAATTTTAGTATGAACCCAATGTTTTATAAATGCCTTTCAATTAAGTTTGTGTTTTGGTTCAATTACAGAAGATATATCTATGAAGGATGAAAATAAACAAATGAACTAAGTCCAGGTCTTTCAAAAGCTATTGCAGATAAGAAAAACTCTCCATGTTTATAGATAAGGCAAGTCTTCATTGCAGAATTAAATGCATTTTGACAACACTTTAACGGCCATGGCTTTGAGATAGTTGAAAAGAAGCTCTCCGAAGCTCTAGGTGCTCTTACTGCCTATTACAGGGAAAACTAACTGATCCCTGTCATCTAAAACACAGACATGCGCCTTTCACCTTAAGAACAGAGAAACATCCCGAGCTCTGAAGATCACCTGGGAAGGAATCCCACTGAAGCATTACAGCGCACCCAAATACCTGGGAGTCACTTTGGACCGTGCTCTGACCTACAAGAAGCACTGCCTGAACATCAAGCAAAAAGTGGGCGCTAGAAACAACATCATACGAAAGCTGACTGGCACAACCTGGGGATCACAACCAGACACAGTGAAGACATCTGCCCTTGCGCTATGCTACTCTGCTTCTAAGTACGCATGCCCAGTGTGGAACACATCTCACCACACTGAAACAGCAGATGTGGCTCTAATGAGACATGCCGCCTTATCACGGGGTGTCTGCACCCTACACCAATGGAGAAATTACACTGCTTAGCCGGTATTGCACCACCTGACATCCGCCGGGAAGTAGCAGCCAATAGTGAAAGGACCAAGGCAGAGACATCTCCAGCTCATCCCCTGTTTGGGTATCAGCCAGCACGTCAACGACTAAAATCAAGACATAGTTTTCTTAGATCTACAGAGACACTCGCTGGAACACCTCAGCAAGCGAGAGTCCAAAAGTGGCAGGCCCAAACCCAGCACCTCAATCCATGGGTGATACCAGATGAGAGACTCCCCCTGGGCACACAGAAGACTGGGCAACTTGGAAGGCGCTGAACAGACTGCGCTCTGGCACCACGAGATGCAGAGCCAACCTTAAGAAATGGGGCTACAAAGTAGAGTCCATGACATGCGAGTGTGGAGAAGAGCAAACCACAGACCACCTACTACAATGCAATCTGAGTCCCACCAAATGCACAATAGAGGACCTTCTTAAAGCAACACCAGAGGCACTCATGCGAATGTGGAGAAGAGCAAACCACTGACCACCTGCTGCAACGCACCCTGAGCCCTGCCACATGCACAAAGGAGGACCTCTTTGCAGCAACATCGGACGCCATGCGAGTGTGGAGAAGAGCAAACCACTGACCACCTGCTGCAATGCAACCTGAGCCCTGCCACATGCACAATGGAGGACCTTCTTGCGGCAACACCAGAGGCACTCAAAGTGGCCAGATACTGGTCAAAGGACATTTAATCAACTACCAAGTTTGCAAAATCTGTGTTTTTTTTAATCTGTTTGTTTGTTTTGTTCTGTTAGAAATGTAATACAATGGTATGGTTGCTGATGACACGATGAATAAACTGCCATGGCCCTATGCCATGGAATGGTGGGAGTTGTAGTTTGGGGAGGCATCAGCACTCCTTGGCAGAGGAGGCTAAAGACCTTGTGAAACTACAAATCTCATGAGCCATGACAGTTAAAGTAGTGGCAAACCGCATTCATTCTACAGTGCAGATACACCCATAATATAACAATGAGTAACAGTTCCTTCCAGACACTCACAACAACCAACAGAGACTTGTGTGTTTTGTTGGTTAGGTTCCCCAGAAGCGCTGCGCACGGAAGCCTTGTCACAATTGAGGAGGACTACTCTAGAAAATAGTCCCTCCTGGCCCTCCTTACTCGGGCGCTCGTTCTGTTTCATTGGTCGGTTACCCGTTCCTCTTCTTCCATGTGATTGGGCACGCCACCTGTCCATCAAACAGCTGAACGCGCCGACTGGCTTTCGGCAGATCGTCTGAGCTCTCTTTCCATCGCTGTTTGAAAAAAACCCACAGATGTAGATATTTATAGAGTAACTCATGCCAGAGTTGTATCGGGAGTTTCCGGGTTTTCTTTCCATATGCCTTTCTTTGATTCCCCCCCCCCCCAAGGCGGAAGTGAGTGCGGCACGAAGAAAACAATGGGAAAAGTATACATATTATACATTTTGCCTGTGATTTGCATCAGCTCAACCCAAAGAAAGGAGTCTGCGCGTTTTCTCATTCATATATCACGATATGTGATTTTTAGGACCCACTGGCAGTGTCCCAAATGAAAAAATAATACATTATTTACGAAATAATAATAATAAAAGATGGAAAACCACGAATTTAAAGAAGCTCTGCTTCGTGGTCATTTGTTACAGCAGATTGGAGAGATTAATTTAAGACATTTTAGGAAATTAATTTAATACATTGAATTTATTTTCCAATCCGGGTTGTAAATTGGCCAAAACCTGGGGCCCCATCTACACAACCAGTTTCTGAATCCAGATTATAATAAACAGGTTGGAGAGATTAAGAAATTTATTTAGGAAATTAATTTAATACATTGAATTTATTTTCCAATCCTGGTTGTCAGTTGGCCAAAACCTGGGGCCCCATCTACACAACCATATAATCCAGTTTCTGAATCCAGATTATAATGATAAATAATAATAAACTTTATTTATACCCCGCCACCTTCTCCCCAACAGGGGCTCAGGGCGGCTTACATGAGGCCAAGCCCAACAGCAAATTACAATAAAATAGAAACAAAAACGACAACACATTAAAACATATAAATACTGCAAATACATATAAATACAGCAAACAATATAAAAATACAGTATAAAATCATCCACAATCAAAATGACAATGAGATTATCTGCTTTGAACTGGATTATATGAAAATGTATTCACAGAAATGCTGGACCACTCTCACAACCACCATGTCAGACTACACAGAGAAGCCATTGAAATACATAAACATGTGGACAATTTCAACAGAAAGGAAGAGACCATGAAAATGAACAAAATCTGGCTACCACTATTACAACAGCACAACAACAGAGAGGAAACAAACAAAGACATCTAATCACCTCTCAACAAAAGTTTGCTTTAGGCACTGTCAGGCCATTATATGCTAATCAAGGTGGTCAGTTGAAACATTCACACCTAACTCCAGCAGAAAAGAGTCCTTTGTCTCACCCTGGTCATTCCACAGATATATAAACCCTTTTGCCTAGTTCCAACAGGCCTCACTACCTCTGAGGATGCTTGCCATAGATGCAGGCGAAACGTCAGGAGAGAATGCCTCTAGACCATGGCCATACAGCCCAAAAAAACCTACAACAACCCAGTGTATTCACACCGAAGGGGACTCAGAGTGGCTTACAAGGAATATGTAAATAAAATATATCATATTGGTTCTTGTGGGGTTTTTCGGGCTATATGACCATGTTCTAGAGGCATTTTCTCCTGACGTTTCGCCTGCATCTATGGCAAGCCTTCGACAATACAATATATCACGTTATTACCATAGCACAATATTACTACTACATATTACTATAGTGCTGTAACATTATACTGTAATATAAATATAATAATATAAAATATATAATTTTATATAGTGTGGATCCAGGCTGAGCGAGAAACACACATTTTAAAATCCTGCATCCCTTTCTGATAGTAGATAGAAGTCAATGGGGTGCATCCGCACTGTAGAATTAATGCAGTTTGATACCACTTTAACTGTCATGGCGCAATACTATGGAATCATGGGGTTTGTAGTTTAGCCTTGGTCAAAAAAAATTTCCTTGAAGGTAAAGGTTTGGGAAAAAAACCGCGGATAAACATTGTGCAGTCTTTCTATCTCTATGGACAAAACGGAAGTAGCCCTGAGGAGTCGCTCTAGGAGAATTCCGGCCGGCTCGCTAGTAACTTCCTGTTTTCCTCTTAGGAAGGCGGCTTTGGCTACGACACCATAGAGATGGGAAGGAGAGAAGGGCATTTAGGCCGCGCTAGGCGTCGGGAGGGGAGGGGGGAAAAGAAGTCACATCCGGGACACTCAGTACTCAGTGTGTTTATTTCTGTCCTCTTGCTGCCCCGCCCTTTCTGGGCCGCGAGCGGAAGGGACCGGATGGAGGCGCCTCGCGGATAGGCTCTCCGTCCCTCCCTCCCTCTGTCTGTCAGTCAGGCAGGCACTCCCTCCTGCCTTTCCTCAGGAGAAGAGCGGCAGGTCAGTCTGTGAGGGGAGAAGAAGTGGAGGAGGTGGGCCCAAGGAGGCTCTGCGGCCCAGGCGGAGAGAGGCCCAGAAGGAGCCTTCATAGGAGGCCCAGAACCAGGCCGAGCTCTGGGATAAGGGGAGAGTAGCCTCATCTCTTCTCTCTCTCTCTCAAGGTGCATTTAGAACAGTGTTTCCCAACTTCTGGCCCTCTAAGAGTTTTGGACTTCAGCTCCCAGAATCCCTCACCGTTGGCCAAAGCAGCAGAGGCTCATGGGAGTCGTAGTTTTATAAGGTCTTTAGCCTTCTCTGCCTGAGACTGAGCGCCCTCCCTTCCAGACAGGATCTGATCCCAGATTAACTGACAGTGGGGACTCATATAATCCAGTTTAATGCAGAAAACCTGGGATCAGATCCTGTCATCTGAATAAAATCCCACGTTTTCTGCTTTGAACTGGAATATATGGTGGCGTGGACTCATGCCCGACTGCTCATTGGAGGGAAGGATATTAGAGGCAAAGATGAAGAGAGGTGATATGATAGCCATGTATAAATTATGTGAGAGGAAGTCACAAGGAGGAGGGAGCAAGCTTGTTTTCTGCTTCTCTGGAGAATAGGACGCGGAACAATGGCTTCAAACTATAAGAAAGGAGATTCCATCTGAACATGAGGAAGAACTTCCTGACTGTGAGAGCCGTTCAGCAGTGGAACTCTCTGCCCCAGAGTGTGGTGGAGGCTCCTTCTTTGGAGGTTTTTAAACAGGCTAGATGGCCATCTCTCAGGGTGATTTGAATGCAATATTCCTGGTTCTTGGCAGGTGGTTGGACTGAATGGCCCATGAGGTCCCTTTCAACTCTTATGATTCTATGATTATATTTTGTCCACATCATGAGAAGACAGGAAAGCTTAGAGAAGACAATGATGCTTGGGAAAATGGAAGGAAAAAGCAAGAGGGGCCGACCAAGGCAAGATGGATGGATGGTATCCTTGAAGTGACTGGCTTGACTCTGAAGGAGCTGGGGGTGGTGACAGCTGACAGGGAGCTCTGGTGTGGGCTAGTCCATGAGTCGGAAGTAACTGAACAAATAAACAACAACAAAAGGACTCAGATAACCCAGTTCAAAGCAGATATTGGTATTCTGGGTTAAATGGCTGTGTGTAAGGGCCCCGAGTGGCTGGTGTCTCCCCAAACTAATGCTATGGAATCCTGGGATTTCTTGTTTGGTAGCTCTCCTTTGGGTAAAGATCTTCCCAAACTCCCTAGGCTTTATAAGCATTTTTTTATTTTTTTTATCCTGCCTTTCTCCCAGCATAGGGACTCAGGGCTGTTCTTGCTGGGAATATGACTCAATATAATACGAGTCAAAACAGTAAATGTCTATAAAATTTTTTTTAAATTTAAAAGAAGAATGAAGTGTTTGGGTCATGAAGCATAAGAAAAAAATGTGAATCAATTTACATTTAAAAGCTAAACATTCTCCACAAGTCCCCATCCTCAAGATCCCCAGAACCCTTATCATTCCTTCAGCATCTGTATGCTTGCCCACAATGCCCTGCCTCATGCACAGAGGAAGAATTGCTGTTTTATACTTACATTATGTATTATATATTTCTGTACCCGTATACTATGTATTGTGGTTCAGATGCAGCACTAGTGTTTCTGTGAGCCGCTCCCGAGTCCCCCTGGAGAGATGGTGGCGGGGTACAAATAAAGATTTATTATTATTTAAAGCTACAGACAGTGCAGTCACTGTTGCCTGTTTTGGTTTAAAATTATTTAGCTGCTTGTGCTCCCTTTATTTTATCAGTTATATACTTATTTATGCAATGCTTTTGACACAAAATAAATAAATCATTCCCTCAATGCCTGATGGCCGAGATAAGTTTTCACCTGCCTGTGAAAGGAAAGTAGGAATGCCTCCATCCTAGTAAATAACCCAGCCCAACAAACAAAAACAAACAAATAACCCTGTTCTTAGGGTTATTTGGGGCATTGATTCAGCAAATTGCATTGGATAAATCACATCAGTTTTTGTTTCTTGGATATGGTTATCGCAATTTTCTATGGGCGAGCAGATGGTAACTGGTCGATGGCATATGTTCTCAATCTGAACAGCTAGAGCTGATAGGGAGAAACTGGTGCCATTTTTGGAATCAGCAGGTCAAATATATCCAGAAACAGAGCTAACATTTGAGGCAACAAAATGTGTACCTGGTCTGTAAATAGAAAGTTCCAAAGTCTAGGAGCAGCCACCAAAAAGGCCTTCTACCCACTAAACTCACTTGAGCAGATTGTGAGACAAAGAGAAGGCCCTCCCTAGAAGATTGCAGGGTCTCACAGAAAGAAATGGTCCTTCAAACAACCTGGACCCAAGCTGGATAGCATTGAGCCAGGGCAGTTCAGATGATGTCAAACTGCATTCACTCTACAATGTAGATTCAGCCTAAGTTTTCCTGATCTTTGTTTCTCATTGTGACTCCGTTGTTTGTAAGTGGAGGAGGGCACACTTGGTGAATTTCTGCCAGTACAGAACATAGTGTGCCCTTGATATTTACCTTGTTTAGTTCCAGGACATCCCCATCCACCTGATCCCAAAGTCTCCAGATGCTCTAAGGTGTAGAATGAATACAGTTTGACACCACTTTGATTGCCGTGGCTCAATACTGTGGACTGATGGGAATTTTAGAAAGCTTTTATGCTTTTCTGCCAAAGAGTGCTGGTGCTTCACCAAGCTACAACTCCTTGGATTCTGTAGCATTCAATTCAAGTGGTGTCAAACCTGTGGCCCTTCGGATGTTTTGGCATCCACCTCCCAGAAGCCCTAGCCAGCTTGTCTAATGGCCAGGAATTCTGGGAAGTCAAGGCAAAAGCACCTGGAGCGCCACAAGTTTGACACTACTGTTCTACAGTGTGGGTGCACACCAAATCCTGTTATTTACGATTGCATAGTTCAATACTTCCCCTTATGTAAAATGGCAAAATCAAAGTTGGCCTTTGGGTTTTGATTTATTTTTTAATTTACTAGCAGTAGCCATGAATACAAAAGCCATTAACAGAAAGTTCTGGCTATACTACTTTTTTTTTCATTTCTGTTCCATCTTTGTCCCCAAAACGCTCCGGGTGATATCCATGGTATACTCACCTGTCTGATTGCCTGCCCTCATCCCTACCACTTTTTATATTTTTTAAAAAGCAAAACAGATGAGGATTTAGAAGGAATACATGTGTAGTGTTGAACCAAAATAGCTTGCATCAAGGATAAAAGAAGGCTAAAGTTGAAGACCTAATTATGAAAAGTTAATACACAATTAACCAATTATACTGAACACCATAGCAGGGATTTGGACTGGATGGCCCTTGTGGTCTCTTCTATGATTCTAAGAGAGAGTATAAAATCATTTTGAAAATATAATGTAAAAAGTACACCACCTCTACCCCTTAAAATTGATTACCTTTGATGAATGAATCATCAATGCCTATTTAAATAAAAATATCTGTTAGTGTCGGAAGTGGAGAAACTTGGCTTCCAGTGGAATAGACCTGCGTAGCCTTAGAGCAGTCACTCAGAAAACCCTCTCCAGTGTTCTCACCTGCATTGTCACATGCCTGTGACAATGCTGGAACGAAGGGAAAGCCCTCGCTTGGAGATCTTAGGGCTTGAATGGGCTTATATAGGGATTTATTATCAGGTAGACTGAATCTAAAGTTTATAGGGCTTTATAGGTCATACTAGCATTTAGAACTATACCCAGAAATGACCTGATAGCCAAGGAAGATTTTTCAACAAATTAGAAGTTTCCTTATTTATGATTCTGTTGTCTGTATTTCAGGGGATTGAGGTAGATGAACCCAAAAGTATTTTCCACTAGTGTCAATCTGTTCCAGTCTACTTGATTGAATTGAACGTCAAGAAATAGTCGCTACTGATACTTTTTGTTATGCTCTCTGTTTTAAAACTTGCAGTCTTGTAGATGTCGTGCGCTCTGAAAAATGGTTTAATTTTTTTAAAGTTAAAATCTGTTCAATGAATAAAACATTTATATTTACATAAAACCACCCAGTAACCTTATCTCTGGGCTGGCTGCACACAGTAATGAAATACAATTCAGATCCACAGTACCATAAAGGAACAATTTGAGACATGAGATAGTAGAAAAAAATTACAAATAGAGTAAAAGCAAGTCACTAACATGCATAGTAGGTAACAGTGGTTCAGAACACTAACACATATTTTTTATATCCTTAAAGAATAAAAAAATCACCCAACACCAAAACAGCAATATACCCACTATAATATATTTCTACAACATACTACCATCCTTGTTTACCTGTCGTAATTCCCCTTCCATCATCCTATGCAGTATATTTCTAGGTTATTTGATATAATTTTTCTCACCTCACATTCCTAAAACCCCTTACTTGAGGAATTCTTTAGCTCAGGTCTGCACGAGTTAGGAGTTGTACTGGGCCGAAATTAGTCTAAGCCTCTTAGGTCCGCAAATAGGTTTTTAGGTAAAGGGGTGTATGGGCGATGTGTGTGTGTGTGTGGCTGGGCCAAGCAGTGGCCATTTAAGGGGCACACTGGTGATGGGTTGACTAGGGCTAGCAACAGTGAGTGAAAGGGGTATGCTGGGGGTGGGAGACCTCAGCAGGCTGCACAAATGGCTTGTGCAGGCCACATGGGGCCCGTAGGCCATATGTTGCACAGGCCTGCCTTAGCTGGTTTTAGAGATGCTGGCTGCGCTTCCATAAGATGGCAAGTTACTATTCTGTACTTCTGGTTCACAGAATGTTGGATGTATGAATGTGAAAGATATATCTGTTTATGTAGGAGTACTTACTTACTTAGGCGATCCCTCGTTTTCCGAGGATGATTGTCTTCCAACATTCTTGTGGGTCTGTATGTGACTGTGGAGCCCTATTCTTGCTCTGCATCTTCTTCCGCAGTGAGGGCATTGGTTTCCAGGTGGAAGGCGGTCCCGGTCGGGGTTAGCTTGACGCGCCTTCCTCTTGGCACGCTTCTCCCTTTCGCCCTCCATTCGTGTCTCCTCAAATTCTGCAGCACTGCTGGTCACAGCTGACCTCCAGCTGGAGCGCTTAAGGGCCAGGGCTTCCCAGTTCTCAGTGTCTATGCCAGAGTTTTTAAGGTTGGCTTTGAGCCCGTCTTTAAATCTC